ATTAAGTAAGGACTTGTGTCGCTAAAGTTTCGTCGGAACGAAGTTACGGAAAGTTAATTAACAAACGGAGACGTAACAGTTATTTATATGTTAGAGATAACTGCGGATCGTAATGATGGCGTTAAGATCGAAAAGTTTAATAAGATAGACCTAGAACGCCTAGAATGCGCTAAAACATTTTTACGTCAGCTTCTCTAGTAAATTCGAGGGCAGATTATAAATACGAGGCTCAGTGAAGTATCGAGAAGATAAAAAGTTGTTTCTAGCCGGTAGTGTGCCATTCGTATAACTTGTAAAAGAGCAAAGTTGTGAAAGTGTATGTTAATTTATTCATATCTAATTTTCCTATAGACAACTAAGTGATAAACATAAAAATTTCGGGTTTAGTGTGAGATGTTAGAACCCTGATTTTGGTTTACTTTAATAGGTCTTCCATGCAAAATATGTTATTTACTTTTTAGCATCTACACAGTATTTTCAACACCAGATAAACACATTTTCAACACATAATGGGTGGCATCACGATTGGAAATGACGTTTTGTTTGTTATACTCTATTTGCTAAGTCATTTTGTTTTGCGATTTCAATTTAAGTGATCATTTTAAAGTACGCGTTTTTTGTGCCATTTTTAAATTAATAAGTGCATTTGTAAAAAATGTTCAGTTGCTGATTTTTGTCCTGTACGCAATGAAGTGATAGAAGTAATTTATAGAGCTTAATGTGAAATGCTAGAACCGTGATTTTGGTAATTCTTGGGCGCAATATATTTTCTTTATTTTTAACATCTACGCAGTATTTTCAACACCAGATGGCACAGAAAATGTTGTGATGAAAGTGGGTGGTATCACGATCAGGAATGACTTTTTGTTTGTTATATTTATCAGATAAGTCATTTCGTGTAATTTTGTTTTGCAATTTAAATTTAAGTGATTAATTTAAAAGGAAGCGTTTTTTGTGTCGTTTTAAAATTGATAATAAGTGCATTTGTAACAAATGATCAGTCGCTGATTTTTGCAAGCTCCGGGATTGAAGTTTAAACTTTCGTACTCGTAGAACTAGAAACTAGAATCGTACTGTACTATTAACATCACAATATTCAAAGTCGTATTCCTTGTGTTACTCGTACCAGTCTGGCCTGGATTGAAAGCCCGTCACATCACATCTTAGCAGGTACTTGTTGTCCTTGTACTCATAACTTGAGCTTTGTTATTTAGGCGTTATTTTACTGCATTGATTAATGTTTGATTTTTAAAAAAGAAGAAATTAATACTAATAGGACATAACACACCATTGCACTAGTAGTAGTCGTACTAGAAGTTAGTGTAGTAATAGTGTTTCCAAAGTAATTAATGAAACATTCAATTAGCATCAACTGTTTTTGCAAATCTAATTTCATAAAACTTTATTGAGAGCTGTATTTATGCTTTTGTTCTATCAGAGTTGCTTAGTTCTTACTGATGGTATTCTTAAACTGTTGTTTTTTAGAAACTTTTGACATGTTTAATAATGTATTAAATCATTTTGGTACTTTTTATGAGTTTTACATGTGTCTTATGTATATATAGTTAAGAGAAAACCAATTTAAATTCTAGGCTTATGTTAATTAGTCTTTTTTTTTTTTAGGTAGTTCAGGGGGTGACTTTGATAGATCAAATTATCTTTGAGTTTGACACTGTATTTTTTCTTACATTAAAAATATAAGAGTGAGCAAAAATAAAGGATCAGGACCATATTGTCTTTTATTCAGCTGTTCACAGTAATGTGAGGTGCTGAAATAATTACTGCAAATATTACACCATACACATCTGGTTAATCCAGTTCTGTTTTTCCTGGTAGTAAGATGGTAATTGTCTGCTTAACAAACTCATCTGGTACTTTATTTTGGGAAACTGTAAATGTGCAAAAGTCTGTTCTTCATTCATTCAAGTTAATTTGTTTTATATATCGTTACAAATATGAGAAACCTGTTTCAATGGTGTCTCAAACTTACTTTTAATTTTTCATGTCACTTTGACCCTCCATTGCAACTGGTTGGGTCTTAAGTAGATGTGAAGTAGCTTATTAGTTACTAACCTATTTCTTTGCTCAAGGGGGAAACATGCAATAGGGAAAGAATTGGGAGCTTCATCCATACATACCCTTAATAAGATTAACTGAAATAACTATGACATCCATCTTCATTTTGAAATGTTACAGTATTTTGTATTATTTCTTATAATGTTCAACTGACATTTATTTATGTGAATTATCTGCTTTTAGCATTTTTTGATGCATCCAAGATGAATTGGAATTAAGGTTTATGATCTAATATCAACAACAGCAGTGATTATATGTCTTGCATATAATTACATACGATTGTGGATCATAACACTTGTTATAATGAAGTGCCAGAGTATATACTCACAATTTCAATAAGGGACTAATGCTGTCAATCAAATTACAACTGTGAGAATGAATGTAATGTTTCTGGTATTTTTCAAGAATGAAAAGCAAATTATAGGTTAAAAGACATTCTCAAAAAAACAAATGATGATATGACAATGTGATATTTACTTCTTTAAAATGGTTACAATTTTAGCACTTGGATTTTAGTTTTGCAGCTAAAAAAGAACTGATAGTCAAAGATTGGCTTCAACAAAGCAGGAGTTGACAATGATATGTTGTTTTTTCTGCAGCATAACTAGCAATTGGAAATGGAAGCTGTGGTTAGTGTTAGCTATTTAGACATAATCAGTTGTACCAAGAATTGATTACATGAAAAATATGACAACATGAGCTTTTAATGTTATAATGGTTCCCCTGGAGAGAAAAAGAACAAAAAAAGTATTATAGAAACTTGGAGATATATTGATTTGTAAAAAAAACTTTGTTTAGTTTTTAATATAGACTAAAGCTTGAAACCTTTAGCTGAGTGGATAACTGTGGTGAAAAGAATCTATAGATTTCTAGAGTCTCTGTTTAGAAAACATTTGGGGTACTATGCTCATTATTAGTCTACTTATTACAGAAAAGCTATTGACCAGTTGAAAATAGTATACAGAAGTCTTCCTGTTGTGTTGTATGAATAAGAGATAAAGTGTTAAGAAGACTGTCTTATGGTTAAAATAATTTTTTCTGGAATATAGTAGAATTAGAGTTTATTCCTTATATGAATTACCTTCATATTCATTTATATTCATATAAAGCACAACTGTGATTCAAAGAGTGAATTAAATAAAATTTTGTATGAAATTTAAATAGGTGGAAAATGAACACAGAAAATGTTTTACGGCACTTGAATAAACCATTTTCAAGTGTGTGTGTGTATATATATATATATATATATATATATGCACAAATGCCAGGTTGTTTGATTAATATATAACTTTTAAATGCAATTCTTTATGGTTATTCACTGTATGTGTATTATTAATGCAACTTAAAATAATGTAGAATTCTCATCATAGTATTACCATTTTTCACGGCATTAGTACAATTTTTGCAGTTTTTGTTAAATATAATTACCCAGAATTATAGATTCCAAAAAATAAAAACTTTGTTACCTGGAAATTTATTAGCTGTATTTGTATAGAATGATTATATTTGTACTAATGTATATTTAATGTATATAACTTTATACATACATTTTACAATAGCTACATGGAACTATGTTCTTTAATGACACTTGACTTTAGGACTGTTATTAAGCAACTTGTGTTCATTATTATAATAATTATATAGACCTTTTGTGAAATCTAGGCCTATATAAAATTTGAAGAATGACGACTAAAAGTACACAATGAATTACTTTAAACTCAATATTCTTCTTAGTTTGAAACTTTTCTTGAATAAAATTACACTGAAATATGACCATTATTCTTTTGAACATTTAATAAATTACATTCACAAACATGTTGTTAAGTAGTAATTTTGATAAAATGTCGGTGTTGTGCAATAAAATTACATTTAATGAGAAAAAACTTCAACTGTATATTAACTTTCCTATTACCAAGATATTAAAAAGGTGTACAGAGGATTGAGTGTACTATATTGAAATCATTTTGAATATACAAATCAAGTCAGATGACAGCCATATATGAAGTCAATGTGGAACATTATGTATCACAACTGCATTTTGACATTGTTTGGCACTTTGTAGGTAGTGTGATGCCACTGAAAATTTATTACTTATGGAAAGGGGTATGTAAAAGCCCTTTCTAATGCAAAATGTTAATATACTCAGGTCAGAAAAATGTGTAATTTCAAGGTTGGGGATATCCTTTGTACTTAATAGCATTGGAAAACAAAGGAATATGGATCAACTTGGAGCACCAGGACCATCTAGAAAAATTTTTTCAAGAAGTCCTACCCCAGCTTTGGGAAACAAAGTGTGGCATTTTGTAACAGGTGAGGATTCATGCACACTAAGGTCAGCTGAAAAAGCCATCCATGTGCCCAAGCAACAGACACAACATGATCAAGAAGGATCTCTATCTGGAAAAGCAGCACAAGTCACACGTACACAAGTTGCTGTCATGATATATCTGTTGAACTGTCACATACCTTAAGCAGCTGGAGAATTAAACATATATTTATGTTATTCCATATGAAGACATACCAGTCAAATCACCAAATATAGGGTCTCTGAATTACGGTGTAATTGGACTGTTGAAGTAGGTGCTGGGAAGCTATAAACCTTGTACACAAGATGGTCTGTGGAAAGATAGCAGGGATGGGTGACATACGTTAGACATAACAGCTTTACCATGGACCATTTTACAATGGAAACTACATTAAAAACTAATATCAAGATGACAGCAAAATAATTTTAATATAAAATAATCAGTCATCGTATATGACCAACGTGATTTATATGTGTGTGTCTCTCTCTTGATTTTTTTTAACTAATATTTCTGGAACATATGGAAAAATAACCTAATGATTAATTAATTATTATAAGATGCTGAACCAAAATGTACCCACATTAGTAAAAAATAGGACCTACTTCAAAGTTGATTGTAAGATATGTACACTTTGATGTGATGATTGTAAAGAGTTGAGTAATAGTTTTAATATTTCTGATCTTATTGTATCCATGTACCATAGGCTCAACTTTAAATATATTTGTTGTTTTGCATGGAATTTAGTGAAATATGTGTTTTCATATTCAATAATTCAAACATGTCTGAATTTCCTTAATGAATTATTAATATGTAGGCTAACTTTCATATCTTTACTGTTCTTAATAAGCCTAGGTATTAATGATTTAATTGTTGTATAATATGTTTTGTTAATATCATGAAGATCTTTTTTTTCTGAGTTAAAAAGAGATTTATATTCCTTGGTAAGGGCCTATTTCTTCATCACAAATATGAAATTTCTGCACCTAATGTGGTTTAACTCTACGAATCATGCATCACTGCACTAACACACACACACACATAAAAAGAAGGGCTGAACAAAACATTGATTTTACTATCTGACACAAACTAAGCACACAAATGTCATTGGCCCATGTTTTTTGTGTTTATAATATTAATGTGTCAGTCATGATGAATCAATTATGGGGTGTGTTTGTTTTAAATATTGTGATTATGTGTGAGAATTTTTATAAATGTAATCATGCATGATGCAGTTCTTAAGATATTATACAGAATAACCACAGGCAGTAAGTATAAGTTGTGTACGGATTGTCTTCCGGCATTGTGGTTTCTATGCTCTGTAGTAAAAGCCAAATGCCTGTATACTTTTGTTGAATTCTGCATATATATTTGTTCATATATATTGTATATAGAATACTGCCTCCGGAGGCTCAGCGGTAAGAATAAGGGCTTATGCTCTAAAAATCGTAGAAAGCCTATTGCATAACTTTGCGCTTAAACTCAAACAGTCTTTAGAATATGCAACTAAAAATTTTTAGTTTATTTGCAGTTTGATTGATGTAACCAGGGGGGAGATCGTATAATTGAGATGAATTTGTGAATGTGGTAAAATAGTTTTAAAATAGTGGGCATAAGATTGATGAAAATAATGTTCAATCGAGACATTATGGGAAATATTTTGAGATGCTCTCTTGTAGTTTTATGTATCGTTTTGGGGTCACTGAGTATTATACGGGTAAGTGTCAGATGTTGGAGAATAGGGTGTTAAAAAGTTCTAATAATGCTCAGCTTGTTGAGTAGGTTTACGCT